CTGGGGGGGGAGGGGCGCGTGAGATACAGCGGTCAAAGGGGATGGTGTGATAATGATGGTAGTGGTGGGGTAGTAGTAGTAGTTGTAGTAGTTGTTGTAGTAATAGTAATAGTAATAGTAGTAGTACTAATATAATTAGTATCAGTATCAGTAGTAGTAGTAGTAGTAGTAGTGGTAGTAGTAGCGGTGGTAGTAATTTGACTATTACTACTACTGCTATTCCTATTACTACTACTAATAATAAAAATAATAATTATTATTATTATAGTAATTAACAACAACAGTAGTAGTGTAGTAGTAATAGCAGTAGTAGTAGTAATGATAATATTGATAATAATAATAATAATAATAATGATAACAACGATAATATTGATGATAATAATAATGATAACAATGATAATATTGATACGAATAATATCAATGATAAAAATAATAGAAGAGAGAAAGCGATGACGAAATACACTGACAAAAGCATGAGAAGCTCCATTCGACGAACGAAGAGCTAATAAAGAGGGAAAATACATCAGGTATAAAGAACTCACGAAGCACCTGAAAAAAAAAACGTATTGGTCAAACTAAGAGGAAAGAAAATAATACATTTGATACGCGAACACATCTTTAAAAATGGTATGAGGAGGAGATAAAACGAACTTATCAATTTAATTAATATTGAAAAAAATAGTATTAATTAAGTGAACAAGTAAGAAATAGGGAAAACGACATTACACATGAAACAAAAGTGCAGGGGGGGGGGGGAGAGGGACACAAGACGAAATACATTGTCCATAAACATCATTCATGAAAAGGAAGAATTACATTATATCTAAACTAAATAATAAAATATTGCTCAAATCATACAATAGAACGATCTAAAAACAAAATAATAATAATGATAATAATGAAACGCAAATCAAAAGAATAACATAGATTAGTAATCTTGAAAAAAAAAGAGCAAAATACAAATAACACGTGAAATGCACTAAATACTTTCTCAGACTGTGGCTATTGCATGTCACTTATACTACAACTGATCTCTGTCACGCTTCCTTCCTCTTCCCCGTGTTTCCCTCTCCTCTCGGCTCTTCTCCTCTCCTCTCCTCTTCTCTCTATTCTCTTCTCCTCTTCTCTCTATTCCCCTACCTCTCTTCTCTATTCTCTACCCTTTCTTCTTTCCTTTTCTCTATTCTCCTCCCTCCCATTCTTCTCTATTCCCCACCCTTTCTCCTCTCCTTTTTCCCTATTCTCCTTTCATCTCCTCTCCTCTCCTCCTTTACTCTCCTCCACTTCTCCCCTCCTTTCCCCCCCTCCACTTCTCCCCTCCTTTCCTCTCCTCCACTTCTCCCCTCCTTCCCCCCCCTCCATTTCTCCCCTCCTTTCCTCCCCTCCACTTCTCCCCTCCTTTACTCTCCTCCACTTCTTCCCTCCTTTCCTCTCCTCCACTTCTCCCCTCTTTTCCTTTCTCTCTCCTCCCCTGTCTTTGTCAATCTCTCTCTCCCTCTCCCTCTCTCCCACTTTTACCGCACCTGCTCTTAATTGGCCGCAGGAACGGTCATTAAAACGGCTCATGAGATGCGAGTTTTGCGAATACAGGGAATAGCATGGACGAAAGAGGAAGAGGGATAGGAGAGGATGAAGAGGGGGAAGGTGGAGGATGACGAAGAGGGGAAAAGGAGAGGATGAAGACGAGGATGAAAGGGGGGGAAAGTGGAGGATGACGAAGAGGGGGAAAGGAGAGAATGAAGAAAAGAAAGTGAAGGAGGAAACAAGGATAGAATGGTTATAGATAAAGATGAATGGTAGAAGTGAACAGAAAGTGAAGAAAAAGAAGAGAAAGGTGGACGAAGAGGAGAGAAGAACACCTTGAGAGAACGCGAAAAAGAGAGACAGAAACAAGACGAAAAAGAGAAAGGGATGCAACAGAAGTGGAGAAAGAAAAAGGGAAAGAGAAAGACAGCGAGACAGATATGAGGACGAGAAGAGCGAGAGCGAGAGCGAGAGCGGGAGAGAGAGAGAGAGAGAGAGAGAGAGAGAGAGAGAGAGAGAGAGAGAGAGAGAGAGAGAGAGAGAGAGAGAGAGAGAGAGAGAGAGAGAGCAAGAGAGAGAATATAAATGGACGAATGAACAGGTAATGAGCAAAAATGGCGATTGGCCTCTTTATCCGGAATAAGGAGCGAAGCAAAAAAATTAATTTTGAGGAAGAAAATGGGATGGCCGCGAAACTGGAGTCATAGGGGGGGGGGGGGATTGGTAGAGGAAGGGAAGAATTGGGGGGTAGGGAAGGGAGGGAGGGAGGGAGGGGAGGGAGGGAGGAGAGAGGGAGAGGGAGAGGAAGAGGGAGGAAGAGAGATAGAGAGAGAGAGAGAGAGAGAGAAAGAGGGGGAGGAGGGAGGGAGGGAGGGAGAAAGGGAGGGATAGAGGGAGGGAGAGAGGGAGGGATAGAAGGAGGGAGGAGGAAGGGAGAGAGAGAGGGAGGGAGAGAGGGAGGGATAGAAGGAGGGAGGGAGAGAGGGAGGGAGAGAAGGAGGGAGGGAGGGAGGGGGAGCGAAAGAGCGACACAGAAACAACGAGCAAGGACACGTCGATTCCCATAAAGCTGGGCCGCGCATTATCGCCTTATGGAGAGACGCAAGGAGGGGGAAAAGAAAAGAAACAACAGAACAAACCAACGACCCGTACAAAACAACCGAACAAAAGAGAGAAAGAAGAGGGGATGAGGGGGGCGGCGAGCTGGAGAGAGAGGGAGGCGCGATGAGAGAGAGAACGAGGATACAGAGAGAGAAAGGGGAAGGAAAAGACAAAGCGAAACGACGGCAAAAAAACGCCGGAAAAAAAAGAAACCGACGCAAGCAAAAAAAGGAAGGAGGGAGGGAGGAGAAGACAGACCGCCGGAAGGACCCACACCCCCCACCCCCCCAAACCGGCAGGTACACCAAACCCCCTCCCTTCACCAAACCCTCCTCCCCCACTCCCCCAACCCCCCTCCCTTCCCCATTCCCCTCCAACCCCCCTCCTCCTTCCCTACCTCCCTCCAACCCCCTTCCTGCTTGCTTGCTTCCTTCCCTGCCTTCCCCCAACCCCCTACCTCCCTCCCTCCTTCCCTCCCTCCCCCCTCCCCCCCTCCCTCCGACCCCAATCAACCCCAATCAAAGATGCAACAAAGGCCCCGAATCCGTCTCCTCTCGCGTGAATGGCAAATGTTGCACAGAAAGAGATGATGTCAAGAGTTATTGGCGCCGGGATTGTTGCACGATTGCACACGCGTTGTTGATTCATTCCGTGCGAGTTACTGTGTGCGGGTTTGTGGGGGGGGGGTGGGGGGGCGGTGTGGAGGGTATTTTGTGAGGGGCGGGGGTGAGGGAGGGAGGTAGAGTGGGAAGGGGAGTGAAGGAAGGAGGAAGGGGGGCTTTTTGTGAGGGAGGGAGGGAGGGAGGGAGGGAGGGAGGGAGGGAGGAGGAAGGAGGTACGGAGGAAGGAAGGGAGGGGAAGGAGGGAGGTGGAGGAGGGAGGAGGGAGGGAGGGAGGGAGGAGGAAGGAGGTACGGAGGAAAGGAGGGAGGGGAAGGAGGGAGGTGGAGGAGGGAGGAGGGAGGGAGGGAGGGAGGGAAGAGGAAGGAGGTACGGAGGAAGGAAGGGAGGGGAAGGAGGGAGGGGGAGGAGGAGGAGGGAGGAGGGAGGGAGGGAGGGAGGGAGGGAGGGAGGAAGGGAGGGAGGAGGAAGGAGGGAGGGGGAGGAGGGAGGAGGGAGGGAGGAAGGGAGGGAGGGAGAGAAAGACGGAAGGAGAGGAAGGGAGGCAGGGAGGGAGGGAGAGAAAGACGGAAGAAGAGGAAGGGAGGGAGGGAGAGCCTTTGGAAAGGGGAGAGGGTGACGGAGAGAGAGAGGAATTGTGGGAAGTAGGGCGGAAGGGAGTGAGGGAGAGAGAAGGAGAAGGAGAGTGAGAGCGAGAGGGAGAGGGCGAGATTTCGGAAGGGCGAGAGGAATGGAAGAAAGGTAAGGGAGAGAGGGTCAGTGGAAGGAAACGATAGATAAAAAAGAGACGAAGAACACACCAAATCAGAAAAAAAAAACGGATTTGACCAGGCCGCTTTATGCAAAATTCCGGCCTGATTCCCTCGCCGCTGGCCATGAAGGCTTCCAAATGGGGCCATGCGTTCTCATCGAAAACCTCATGATCGCCCGGTGGCAACACCATTATCATATCCTCTCCCTTATTCCTTTATTCACGTTTTCCTTTACCTTTCGTCTTTTTTCCCCTTCTTTCCAACACAATCTCTCTCTCTCTCTCTCTCTCTCTCTCTCTCTCTCTCTCTCTCTCTCTCTCTCTCTCTCTCTCTTTCTCTCTTTCCTATTCCATACTTGCTTCATGCTTTTCTCTCGTCAAATGCAAGAATCCAGTGCTAGGGACTCCTAAAAAGAGTACGAACCAAGAGCTAGAGTCTTCGAGCACTCACTCAAACCAAGGAACCGCCGAGAAAGGAACCTCGAGTGAGTGCGACCGGCCAGTGAGCATGCCAGCCACCCTTCCTGACCGTTTCTAGTAGACTAAGGTACCTCTAGGACTCACTTAACCATCTAGGGTGCGAGAGACGCACTCTAACTCGCCAGCAATCTCCTCTAAGTTGCTAAAAGGATATATCTAGGGTGGACGATCCTCTAGGGTGAGAGCGACGCACTCTAACTAGGCAAAACACGCTCTAGAAGGGTATCTAGGAGGAGCCGCGCGCGGGGCGACTCCCTTGCGAGGATGTACGTAAACTTGAACAAGAGCGAGGCCGTTTCCAGCCGCCCAGGGTGGAGGGCGGAGGCGTGGGGGGGCAGCACCCTAAGTCGGTGGGGGGGAGAGTGGACCTTAGGGTGAGGGGAAGGGCGCAGGTGCCCCCCCGCTCCCCCCGCTCCCCCCGCGCCCCTCCGGCAGGGCAGCCCCGGGAAGGCGCCCTGGAAGGAGTGGAAGGGGTGCGGGTAGAGGCAGGCGGGGGGGCGGGGGCGCGGGGGGGGCTGGGAGTA